ATGACATTATCGAAAACATGATTTTAGAGAAATACAACTTTTCCGTGAATTTTGAAAAATGAGAAACATACCCCAGAGCGGGGGATTATCCCCGCATGTACGCCCTCTTTCTTTCTGAAACTTTCGGTAAATCCTTTTCTAATCTACTATAAACCCCTTTAATCTAATATCAGTCAAGTATTATGTACTTGATTGTTATTTGAGAATAGAGAATGTGATCCATAAGGGTTGGAGATCCTTAATTAAATCTTACTTTTTGTATTTGACATGTGATCATGCATTTCATTTTTTGCAATCTTTCATTTCAAGTGTAGATAAACAAAATAATTTTGAAAAATACATTTACGGATGCATTTAACCAGAAACGATATTTAAAAAAAAAAAAGAACCATAAAACTACTCAATAAAAAGATGAAAGTTTACATCCATTTAAATTGTTCAGTCTCTCTCTCTCTCTCTCTCTAACATCATTCCAAAAATTTTGCTGTGTACCAAAGAAGGTAAAGTACATATGTGAAAAATTAAAAAAGAAGTCGGTGACCAATCTCGAGTTATCTACTTTTTATGGAACGCCGTCACTGCCTTATAGCAGAACACTACAATTGCATTGTGTCAACTTTCCATTACATTATGTCAACACTTTGTGACATTTACTTACAGTACTATTGCGTTAATTATGTCAACTTTCCATTACATTTTGTCAACTCTTTATGACATTTACACACACTACTATTGCGTTATGTCAACTTTCCATTACATTATGTCAACTCTTTATGACATTTACACACACTACTATTGCGTTATAAATGTCAACTTTCCATTACATTATGTCAACTCTTTATGACATTTACACGCACTACTATTGCGTTATGTCAACTTTCCATTACATTATGTCAACTCTTTATGACATTTACACACACTACTATTGCATTATGTCAACTTTCCATTACATTATGTCAACTCTTTATGACATTTAGTCACACTACTATTGCGTTATGTCAACTTTCCATTACATTATGTTAAGTCTTTATTGCATTAACTCGCACTTCAATTACATTGCGCTAATCTTCCATTGCATTATATCAGCTCTTTATGACATTAAGTCAAAACAATTTTACGTGGTGTAAAGATGTTATTATAGAATTTAAACTCATTATTACATTATGTGCACTCTCTACTATTTGGTCTAAGTAGTTCATTACATGATGTGAATTTATCTTTAATTCAATATCAAGTCGCTATAACACGATGTCAGAATTTCATACATGATGTGAAAAAAATTGTCACAGGTGGCCAATTCTTTACTATATTGTGTCATCAATATGCTACATGACGCCGGGAATCTATTACATGATGTCAATTTTCCCTTACTTTTTGACAAATCATTATTATGTTATGCCATTGTATCTTTACATTGTGTCTAAAATGCTTAGCCTCTTGTCAGTATATCTTAGAATATTTCAACTCTTTATTATGTGACGTAAGGTTTAGGTTATGCACATATGTTAAACATGCAAATAATTTAAATTAAACGTATCAAATATTAAATTATACACAAGACTTAATTAATCCTTAATTAAATATCAGGTTAAATTAAAAACAGGATCATGTTCCCATGGAATCTTTATTGACGATTTGAAAAGTCCGAAACTTCTGATCCAACTACAAAACACTGTCCTAAGCTTTTTATCTGTCTTTAACCCTCCTTTTTTTTAAAAAAAAAGTGTAAATACATATCGTATTTCATACGTGCACTGGTGGGTCGGTGGGGAAAGGGAGGATCCCGCCCTCCCATCTTTAGTGACCAAAATATGCATGAAATTAATCAATTGATTTCACTTTGTAGGACATTGCATTAGTTTTACATAAAGTATAACTGAAATAAGTTGAAACGTTTTATTAAAAAAATCTAAAGCCTGAGAGCTTTCGGGCTTTCACCCCCTGGTCCCCAACTTAGACACCATATCGTCCCCCTATAGCTACTCTTTTCAAGAACTGATATGAGCCCGTGTTAACTAAGGCATGGTCAATTGATTTAAGTGAAAACGTAGATTTTTGTAACAGAATTCTGGTCCTGGAATGGTTGAAAAATTACTAATTCCAGTGGACGTTGCATTGTTTTTGAAAGCTGGGGGAGGTTTGTCAGCCAGAAAAAAATAACGTACAAGAAAGAGCGAAAAAAAATCCAAACTCGAAAATCCTATTTCGGGTGAAAGGGGGGCGTGGGTCCAACTTCGATCAGTCCTTAAAAAAAATCCAAATATACTACATTACCCTTATACTTCAGCAAAAAGTGGGACTGAATTTCAATGAACATTTTCTATGATAAAGTTATGTCGGAAAAAAAGAGGAAGTCAGACCCCCCCCCCCTCATATAATGTGTCCGTAATTCGTCCTAATTAATCAGGACCCCCCCCCCCCCTTCCCAGTCCTGAAAACACGGTTATCAACTTTGACATAATGTAAATGTATTTTACAGCGCGTAATGAACATTTGTAATCAACATGATAAAGAATTAACACAATGTAAAGATAGTTTTAAATCACGTAAGAAAGAGTTAACATATTCTTATTAAATATCCACATATAGGAATGGTTTTGACATAACGTAATAAAGTGTTGATATAATATGGAACGCCGGGACTTCTCCATAATACATGTTCATATTATGTTATTAACCTTTTTACATCACGTAATAAAGAACTGACATAAAGGTAAGATGTATTCACCTCACATTGTGATGACCTCGGCGTAAAATAAAGATACATTAACATCACGTAATAATGCTTTGCTTTAATAGAAATATACACTCACAAAAGGGAATGGACTTTGACTAAATGTAATGATAAATTTAATCATAGAACACATGTAAAACGAAATTAACTAGACGTAATGCAATTTTGATCTCACATATTAAAGAAATGAAATAATATAAAGAAATATTCATTTCACGTAATTAAGTTTTAACACAATGTAAACATATTTTCACTTCACATAATGAACTTTGGTCTTCAAGTTATAAAGTGCCGACATAATGGAAGAATGTGTTTACTTCATGTAATGCAGCATTGACATGATGTAAAGATATTTTTACATCACCCCATAAAAAATGATATAACGTAAAGATATGTTCACATCACGTAATGATAGATTGACATAATGAATGCATAGTTTTATGCTATAAGGCAGTGATGGCGTTCCATAACTTTTGAATGATGTGCAGGTATAATCCAGTCCAATTCAGATTAGAAATTTCAAGATTTTATCAGATACTTGGCTTTGGTTCGTGTTTATTGTTATCAAATATATAGATTGAACATTTTTAAAATATTTTTATAATATTAGAAAGCTTTTATGTAGCCCTCCAGTTACTGAGTAATCATGAATGAAATTTAATGAGATGAATATCGAAATCAAACGGTTGGGAACCACATTCAATCTTGCGTCACTGCATTGTAGTGTATCTAATAATTATGTAGCTGCAGATTTGCAGATAACAGAAAAGTATGTGTCTTAAACCGCTGTCATACCGGGACTTTATTTGCACAGCACCATATAAAACTAGAACTGTCCAATAGGGACAAATACCCCCCGCTGGGTTTTTCAGAGAAGGTGCCAATTCAAAAATACTTTATGGATCCAGAGGTGTTCACAATTTACTTACAAAAATTTGCAGTGAAATATAATTGCTCATCATGTTTCTTAATGAATGAAACAAAGGTGCAACCAAATGAAACATCAATACTAATACATTGTAATTCCATTGTAACATTTTTTTTTCATTTTATAATTTTTTTTATTTCTGCATTAAAAAAAAATATATTGCAGTTATGTGTTATGTCACTCTGCAAACTGATTGTTGAAAAAAAAACCATTATACATAATCAAATTAATCTTGATATATCAATTTGAAATGCATTTTGAAAATAAAGAGCTGGTCATCCAGTAATGAAGTGCTTTGACAGGCAATAAATTACAATTAAGAGAATAAGAGAAGAGAGATCTTTAATTCTTGTGCCTTATTCCCTGGAGATTAGATAACACACATGCTTGATAAGAGATATGCCTTAACAACTTCCAACACCAAACTCATTAATTTATCTTTAACTGGATGCATGTCCAGTCATTATTCCCAAGAGACAAATGAAATAACATTATCTTCTGTGCAATGTAAAAACTGTTTTTAACACTTGATGCTGTTTCTTTTTTTAAAAATTTTTATGAGTAGTTTTAAGCTGTAGTATTTTTGTACAGATATTCTAGATTCTATGTCTCAAACCTTATACGAGCCCAAAATGAACAAGTCAATTAAAATAAAAAATAAAACCTGTAAAATGCAAAAAAATTAACAAAAAGAGTTGAAAATTCCAGGTGCACACCTTCATATGGTGAATAATAAGTGTACAAATTTTCAGATTAATCCTTGCAATAGTTTCTGAGATACGGTCTGGACAAAACCACAAAATAAAAATGAAAAAACACCTGTAAAATTCAAAATAATAATCGAATCAAGATGAAAATATCAGGTGCACAACTTCATATTGTGAATAATATGTGTACAAATTTTCAAACAAATCCTTCCAATAGTTTCTGAGTAATGGTCCGGACAAAATCTCGTCTACAGACAGACAGACGGACATGGTGATTCCAATATACCCCCCCTAAACTTCGTTTGCGGGGGGTATAAAAAATGCAATACACCTAGGTGAGTGAAGAAGAGTCTCCTAGCTGCAGCACCGTGACAACATGGCGTGAACTCCACTGTATACGGTAGGGTCATGTAGGGTGTCCTAGAACACTGACATTTTATACCACAACTCAAGGTCATAAATTTATACATTCTATGTGTATAACTTTCATTCTGGGCATTATCTCAAGAAGTTTTTGAGTTTTATACATTAACTCCCTATGGCCCCTCCCGCCCTTCTTAAAGTGCCCCCTTGAACCCACCCTCACTGATCAGAGTATTTTCTTCTTTTTTCAAAATACAAAAGATGAATATTACTTCATAAACAACATTCAATGCATTTAATTAAATGCAATATATCAAAGTCTTAATCAAATGTACAAAAATAAAACTTCAAAGTTATATTTAAATTAAATGTAAAGCAAACAGAGTTTACATCATTGCATATACTTAAGACACGAGAAAAAGCAAACATGCATAGATTTACATTAGTGTAATCTTCAGGACTATCTCGATTGTCTCCATAGTAACTATAAATACTTTTTTTATTATTTATTAGAATTTCTCTAATGATGGTATGTCTTTCGTTTCCATTTCAGTCCAAGTTTTTCTTTCATTTTCAAGTTACTGGGGTGATTATATCCTAAGAAAACTACACCATGAAGAAGCAGAGGCATGTGTGTTTCTGGAAGAAAGGAATTTAATATGTAAATAACATGTAAAACAACAAATAAAACTCTAATGCTTGACTCATCAACACAACTTACTTAATACTCGACACATCTACCTTGGTCTTGGTATGAACAAGATTTTTTGTGTCTTACTCAATTCACTTCAATCACGAAGAAATGAGCTTATTGAAAACATTTTATAAAATCCTTGCCAACTTGAAAAAGATAGAAATTTTTTTTTATTACAAGTTCTGCAGAACAAACTTATGATAATTAAACTTATGAAAATTAGCAGATATATTTTTTTGTTTACAAATTATCTTTTCAAAAGTACACATCGTTTTCAATGTTTGACAAAAAAAAAAACATTTGCACAAAAACTACTCTTTCCACTGTTCATGTACTAGTATTACATGTACCTTATTACATGTGCCCAGCCTGTGGATAAGAGCTAGAAGTCTACAATTGTACCACAGACATGAGTAAGCTTGTAAGGATAACATGTTACATACCATTGACTTGGTTTATGAACTCAATCCACCTGTTTACATAGTTAACCTGGTCACTTCGTGACATTACTGTTGGATTTGCTCCATGTTTAAAACAAGTCTGAAATTTGAAAATGCTCTCCATTTAAAACTATGAATTAAGCATTCTTCATCAGTATGCAAATAATTTTTTCCCAAAATTAATTTGTTTTTGCCATAATTTGTAACTATCACTTACTGCAAATACAGTATAGTAAAATATTTAAATTTATTCATATTCAACAAAAACATCGTAGAGTTCTGCTAGAATTGAGAAATTCTAAAGGAAAATGGTTGCCCTATGAAAGTAAAACAAAATCTGGTTGACAAATATGCCCTGAGAAAGGATATTTTTTTGTGATGATTCAGACAACTGATTTATTTTCTCTCACAATGATTTCAAACATGCCAAAATGACCTTTGGTCAGTATCTTGACAAAGTCTCAGAAGAAATCATTATGCTAGCTGAATCAGCTTCAATAATAGGATAAGCTTTGACAGGAACACTCCCGAACTATAAATTCTTGGAAAGTAACTGTGACTTGACGAACTGACCTTTGGTTCCATTTCATTTCATACCTTCTGGCCTGGTCATATGTATTTTTTATGTGAAGTATTAACGTACTGTATACCAAATTATTGTTGACCCATGCTAGTTTTGCCCTTTCACACTTGCAAGAAGTGAATTCAGAGAACCTGTGTACCCTCTTAAGAAAAAAGAAGGATCTACAGAGGGAGGCTGAAAGAGGGGGGGGGGCACTTTTAGAAGCTTAAAGGCTTTCTCGAGATATCATGTGGAAACAAAAATTTTACAGACAGACATATAGACAATAAGACCAAAAAAAATATCCACCCCCCTCCCACCCATTTTCAGCAGGGGACAAAAATATTAGACCTCATTTTAAATTCACAATTCTGTACAAGTGCTCAGTAACAATTCTGGTTAAGATATTATACTGTATATTCATTAAATTAACACTTTTCACCTGTGATAAGGGCAAAAATAAAACTGCAGGGCAAAAATTTACATGTTTACAGAATATTTTCTTTACAGTTATTCACTCACAAAATTAACAAGAGGCCCAAGAGCCTTGAATCGCTCTTCTGATACATTGTACAATCTATCACTTCTATTCGTATTGAAGCCTCTAAGTATCCTAAGACCCAAGATGCATCAACTGACAAAGTTTGATGATTCTTAGCCAGTTAGGACTGAAGATATTTCAATATAACTATAAAATACCATGAGTAAGTCACGATGACATACTTATTGATTGAATTTTCTTAGGACTTAAGATGCATTAATTGACAAAGATTGATGATTCTAAGCCAATAAGTACCCAAGATATTCAAAAGTAGGTCACCATGACCTACTTTTTGGTTGACATTCTCCGAAAACCCAAAATGCATCAACTGACAAAGTTTGATGAATCTAAGCCAATAAGTACCTAAGATACGTAAATTTAGCCGTAAAATGTCAAAAGTAGGTCACAGTGATAACATTAAAGTATACTAGAAATTAAACAATTAAATGACAAAAGGTTCAAAGTCATGTTAAACCCTCAAGTTATTGGAAAATCTTTGCATGTCTCCTTAAATACACAACAGCAATATTCTAAAATAATTATTACCATTCTGTTCTTTGCATATTCACCACTATACAAGACTTTGTTGACAATGTTCAATAACTTCACAGTTGGAAATCTTACCCATTTCAACTCTGAATCTGTCAGTGCTGAGACTGTACTCTTTGCCAGAGCCTTATCAATGAAGAATTGAATTTGATTATCTCTTGTCACATTCTTGATGCGAAGCTCATTACAATGAGCTAGATGCATCTACAAAAAAAACAAAACATGGTTACTGTACTTGATCTGCATGCATCCAACAAAAGGTAGCTAAAATAAAGAGTATAGTAATGTACATTTCTTATTTTGTCAGTCTCAGGATAATAAACATTTCAAAAAGTGTATATAAGCAATATATTTCTAGTGTGTAAGTATTTTTTTAAATAGTTTGAAGTTGAGCTGAAAAAAGAAACATTTGCTTCAACCTATGAGGAGAAGTGCCAATGTCCTTTTTATTTTAGCAAATCTAAAAATAAGAAATGGCAGTCCAAGGAAATTAACAGTCATAAAATTGATAAATACACCTGTGTTTATATTATAGTCTTATACTCACCCTATATCTGTATGGTATATTATGCATACGGTACTTTCTGTCTTCAAAGATATCAGCAATGAGAAGAATTTCACTTAAACGTATGCTAATTCCTTTCTCCAACTGACAATAATAGAAAAACTTTATTTATACATATTTTACATCAAAACTGTATTGCATATTTATATATACAGGTATTTCAAAATTTATTAAATTTAAAACTATATTAAATTAAGATAAGACAAAACATTAATTACTTCATA